TGCGCACGGAGTGGTCTGCAACTCACTTGGGTTCACGTGCGAAAAAACTGGGGCAGGGAGCTTGCTTAGACGTAGATATCCTTATTTAGACGAGGTTACATCATCTTGTTGTCCCTGGTTTTTTTCACGGGGCCACTCTTCTCCGACTTGGTGCATCTTTGCATGCCGAACCTTCAGATGCTTCCAGTGTTGGAGAAGCAAAACAGTTTTAAACAGCGCCCCAGCAAATGCGGCGTGCATCTGATAAGTAGGGTACTGCCCCAGTAAAGGCCTATAATAGGCTGTGATTAGGGGTTTCCATCTGTGTGCATATACTGAGTGCATGTACAGGTGTACATGTGTATGTACCTATGAGATAGTTATAGTCTAGGTATTACTGGGTGGGGGCAGCACCCAAAACATGAAGTGCGTTCCAGATGTCACGCATTGCGAGCTTTTAGTCGCAAGCTGGGCACCAGCAACCCAAAACCACCATAAGCCTCAGACCGCACGGTTGCGAGTGCAAGGTTTGTGTACGGGCGATTCGGTGAATCCATAAACCCTAAACCCCAAACCCAATCCTCTTAGGTCCCTTGCCGGGCTACAGCGCGATACGGAAAGGGTGACAAGGTTACTGGGCTGCTGTTAAGGAACTTATTTTAAGTTACTATATTGGGGAACCCTATTAATTACTATATATTCCCATTATGGTAACTTGATTTAAGTTCCTTAACAGCAACCCAGGTTAGTGTAGGGTTTGAGGAAATCAGGGGTGCCCTTTGGGTGATCCCAGAATGAGTCTGAGATCCTGACCACCCGTTTCCTGACAGGTCCTACCTGTGGGCCCTGCATTGTCGGGCTTGTAAGGTGTTGTAGAGTATATACCCAGACCCCCTAAAGGATCCAAAACATGGAACCCCCCCAATATGAACCCATGACTACATTGCGGAAACTAGGGGATTATTAGGGTGTTCCATGCTTTGGATTTTTCAGTGGGTCTGGGCAATGGGATCACGAAGCTCCTAGTTCCAACCTTGGAGGAAGGTGTATAGTCGATTGACAGTATACAAGGGTAGCCAGGGCCTATAGAAGCCCACACTGTAAACGCTTAGTCAAGTTCTGAAGGCCGCTTTGGTCACAGGCATCTAGGCTTCGTGTTTACGGCTTAGGGTTTAGGGTTTAATGGCTTGGAACTGGGTTGCGCTGATTAGAGAGATGTTGCAGCAAATGCCCCTTGATGGCCGTCGAGAAAGGTTCTTTGAAAGCAGAACTAGTTCCCCTGAAGTACTGTAGCCCCTGCAGAATCCCCAAGTATATAGGCGTTTCATTTTCCGCTTCCATTGCCTCATCCTCCAAGAATGCTTGCATTGGGTGTGCAGCTTCGTTCAGCTTGCGGTGGTTTCAGCTCACAACGGAAAGCGCTGCTGGAAACGATTGTGCTGTTTGCTTTGCTGCTTTTTTAACGTAGAAGCCTGAAGCATCAGCATTATTCCCTGACAATCCTTCAACAACTACAGGATAATGGGCCTCCAAGCCTTGTTCTTTTCTAGTCCCCAACGGTACCTGGACCTCCCAAATACACATAGTGAGTTGAGGGCCATCAATCTAGGTACTCGGGACGTCCAGGTATGCCTACAGGCGACGGAATCTTGATTTCGAGCATACTTTTTTTCTTGCGCTTGGCTTATAAGAAGCTCAGGTATAGGGACCATAAAAGGGCCCACAGGGCTTGCAGATACCCTCCCGCTAGCAGCGGTTTTGATGCGTCCCAAAGATAGGGTGCAATACAGGAAGAGCTTCTACACTTACTACTGAGCCACAAAGGCCAAGTCTTATGGGTATTGAGAGGTCTAGGCAACTTATCTACACTTCTGCTAAGAACGGAAAATGGACGGTGAGAGGGTACAGCTTCTCCACAGGAAAAAACGTCTGTTTTCGGAACAATATTCCGAAATCCTGTGGTATACCCTTATAGGCCACTATATAGTAGGTAATTGAGAGATCCGGAGGATTCTGATGTGCTGAGAGTTGTTGGGATCGGACAGTTGCAAGGTGAAGTGGTGGCATTTAGCATCATGACTTGGAAGGGTAGCCACCTTAGCTCTAGGCCCAAGCCCACGGTGTATGCAGGCCAATGCGCTTCAAGAAACAGAAGCATCATCGATCCCCATGGAAATTGAGTTGTTATAATCTGTGAGCGAATTCCAGAATGGCTTTTGCTCATGTATAGGCATATTCATGCGCTGATTTCAGCCATGTAAACATGGGACATGACCCTGCATGTGCATTTGAAAAGGGGCCAGGATTCTATTATAAGCACAGAACCCTAAGCCCTAAACCCTAAAATTCAGCAGAGCTTGCCGAACTCACCTTGGTTTGAGGTTTAGGGTCAAATATTCGCAGGGGTGTTGAGTAAGCCCTTGTAGTTTGTCCTTTTGGGGAGCCTTAAATTCCTTTTTAAGCCAAGCTCTGCTAAGGGAAGGGGAACCTTTTTAGCCCTAGGTCACTGGGCATCCTGGAATTCCTATGTAATCCGTATAGGACCCCTAGAAAAGCCCTATAGAATCTCAATCTCTATATAATGGGGTTATAATAACCCCTATATAGTTCCCCATATTTGGGATCCTACTAGATTGAAAAGCTGCATCGGTCATTCGAGTTGCTGTGCAGGAACTGGAATTCAGTTACTATAACGAGGAAACCCTGTTGTTGCCTACTATATACCCGTATTAATGTAACAGTATCCCGAAAGCCTAAACCCTATGTACCCATATTATGTTAGCCAAAGCTTTAACGCCCTAAACCCTGTATACCCATATTGATGCTAGGGTAACTCTAGCCCTAAGACCCTACATCCTATGTACCCATACATGGTAACTTTACTTAAGTTCCTTCGCAGAAATACAGTCTACCCCTAATAAGCCCCAAACGCTAAACCCCTAAACCCTAAACCCCTAAAACCCTAAACCCAGTCATGTGATGTTGTCCTCAGGCACGGCGGATCTCAAGGCCCAGATCGAGGCGGCTGAGGCCAGCTGACAGTTTCGTTGACCTGAACCTTCCAGAGGGGTTTAGGGTTTAGGGATGAGGGTTTAGGATTTAGGGTTTAGGATGCAGGATTTAGGGGTTGGGATTCAGGAATTAGGGTGTAGGATTTAGGGTTTAGGGTGTTATTTTGGGGTTAACGGCGGTAATGATGGGTATTTGGGAGGCCCAGGTAGATCCAGGAACATTAGAGCTTCTCAACATAATCCCTACAGACTCCCTAAAAGGGACTTCTCATACCCTAAGCCCTATGCCCTAAACCCTGTATATCCCTGGGCTCCCCTAGGGCCTTTCTTATGAGAAGCTTCCACCGGAAAGGTTAGATCTAGGGATATAGCCCCTCTTAAGGCTTCACGGATTGGAGAAGGGAAAACTAAGATTGAGGCTCCTCTCCTGATCTTCAAGCACCTGATGGGCGATCTTTTGGGGTACACATTCCCAGACCCCCTAAGGGATCCAAAAATTGGAACAACCCATTGCTACATTGGGGAAACCAGGGGATTCTTAGGGGGGTCCATTTTTTGGATCCTTGGGATTGTGAAAACATCGGCAAGGTTAAAGCCCCAGATTTTGGGCAGGGGATTGCCGAGTTTCCCTCCCTACCCTTCCCCAACATCATATATGAGCTATCGTCTAAATTCCTTAAAGGGTGTTATTTCGGGGATGATCTAGGGCAGTATTATAGGGCATACTAAGGGGGATATTAGGAGTTTAGATTATGAATCACATATATATATATGTATATACATATGGGCAATCAAGCCCCATGTGAATCTGGTGGTCCCTTTGTGGATTCAGGCTGCCCAGAATCGGACCCGAATTTGACAAACCCCGCACATGATTAAGCAGCGTCAAGAAATGCTGCATGCGCCTGTCCACACAGGCGACCGGTGTGAAACATGAGGGTTTAGCCTCGAGTAAGCTTCTTGACAAAAGCCCCCACCCTGCCCCAATAAGAAATAACAACAATTCAGTACAATTTTAGTACCATGACATAGTGGTGGGAGAGCTTCTTTTTGCGAGCACTCTTATTATTAGGGTGTGTGCTGGGATTATGACTATAGGAGGAGATTTTCCAACTTCTAGATGAACCCTAAACCCTAAACCCCTAAACCTAAACCCTGAACCCTGGAACCATAAGTGCCGGAGCAGGTCGAGGCCAAGCAGGTGGAAGACGAAACGCGCATGATGGCGGTGGAGCCCGTCTCTGAGTTTAGGGTTTAGGGGTTTAGGGTTTAGGGGTTTAGGGTTTAGGAGTGGGTTGCAGGGTCTTATGGCTGGACCCCCCCCACCCAGTACTATATAGTGACTATAAGGGATAGTACAGAATATATTAGGGTCCGAGTATATTCCTACTATACCACTATTTTAGGGTGGGATCCTCCTAAAGTATCCTGTAAACGGTGGCGTTGGGTGTAGGGTTTGGGTTTTCGGGTCGCGGTATCCTGTAAAGGGTGGCATTTGAGGGACTCTCGATGTCTACGGCTGCTCATGGACGCCAAAATTTCCTTTCCGACCTGCAACTTTGAGAAGCCCATTCTAGGAGTCACATGGGGCAAGCAAACCGATTTAGTTTGACGACATTATTCTCGGGAGTGGTCCTGTTCAGAGCCCGTCAAACAACCCCAGTTAGAGTCGGCTATACCCCAGTTAGAGTCGGCTATAAACGGCGCCAGAGCATTTTGGAGGTAGATGAGGGACCTTTGAGAAAAAGAAGATGCGGAGATGCCTTGAAAGGACTCCTACACCTGCTTGGATGTTCAGGGGGACTTAGTAAGTAGGTTCATAACCCCTATAACCCATATGCTTACCTTAATCATCCTCATTATTAACCTGCTTAATAAGTGCCCCTGACCCTTAACCCGAAACCCCTAAACCCCTAAACCCTAAAACAAAACCTAACCTACTTCCCAAGTCCCCCATAAGACCCTTTAAACCCTAAACCCTAAACCCTGGGAGCTATCATTGAGACCGAGGCGCCGGCGGATCGAACAGATGATCGCAGAGGCCGGGGACGGCTAAGGGGTTTAGGGGTTTGGGGGTTTAGGGTTTAGGGGTTTAGGGGTTTGGGGGTTTAGGGTTTAGGGGTTTACGCTTTAGGGTTTAGGGGGATTCAGGGTGCAGGACTTGAGGTTTCGGAGGTTCATGTTTTTAAGCACGTTGGCTCACGGATGTTGGGTTGCAGGATTTAGTGGCTTCAACTTGGGCTTGCGTGCAATGATGGATGTCATGGACGAGTATGCCCAACATGTCCGAAAAGGAGTTGCGCAGAATTGCGCATGGCTTGTGCACAAAGTCCTAAGCCCTAAACCCCTAAGCCCTTAACCCTAACTGCTAAACCCTAAATCCGAAGCCCAAAACCCAAAACCCTTGACCTTAAGAACGTCTGCCGTCTGTCCCATGAAAGAGTGGCTGGAAGACGCGGTTTTCGGTTTAGGATTTAGGGTTTGGGGTTTAGGGTTTAGGGCTTTGGGTTTAGGATATCTGGCTTAGGGGATCCAAAAGTTTAGGATTTAGGGCTTGGGGTAAGAAGGTTAGGGATCTTAAGCAGCCCAATGCGCTACCCGAAGAATGGAGGTTCATACGGAAAGCAAGTGACAAGCGAAATGGACCCTAGGAGTTTCACAGGGGTGTATAGGATCCAAATAGCCCAATGTAGGTACTACTATCTGCATACCTGGATCCCTAGGGCGTTTTATGAGCTCATGCAAAAGGTGGGGTGTCACACGGCGAGATGTTTTTGTTTGGGGGGTGGCGCAAGACATTGATTGCCCGTGTTTTGTCAACATCGCTCCCTGAAGAAGCCTCTTTTCAAGTTCCCTCGCCTGCACAGCCGAGTGGCACTTTTCGTGCTTTCTGCTCATCGTGCAGGGCAGCAAGCACATACTGATTGCTTACTTAAGGCCTGCGTAAAGAAGATTCCAAGTTACAGCCAAGAATCTACAGCCCTGACAGAAGGTATTACAGAGAGTACTAGTGTTTCGTAACATGCCTACCTCGCTTAAGCCTAAGTGCGGCGAAGAAGTCGCACAAGACATGAATGGCCTGGCACATAACAGGAGTAGGTGGTTCGTACCTGGAGGGTCGGGTGGGCGTAGCAAGTATAGCATACATCATGTAACCCTTTTCGGCATCCATGTATCCGCCTGACATATTTGAGCAGCGTGTTTTAGGTATGTATGGGCAATGACGGAAGTGATACTGCAAGAGTGCTCGCCTAACCTTTGGCCTGCAAGGCACCATTGTGGCGTAGTTTTGCGTAGGCGCATATAGGTCGTCTCATCCACGTTGTCTGTGTAGTTTGTATGTTTTGTAAGCAAGAAGAGGTTTGTGCTTCATAGGGTTGTCTAAAGCCCAGGAATGCCGCATAGGCAGCGCAATAGCAAGAGTGTGTTCGTGAAGCTTGCTCTGCAGGGAAAACAGCAATCAGAGTAGTTCGCGTAGACATTCTACATCAGTAGAAGATGTTGAGCTTGAAAAGCAATGCCTATTTGCTATGCGCAGCCCCTATCCTTAAGCTGCTCCCCCAAAATCCTCCTCAACAACCCTACAGCCCTGGGCCCTAAAGCTCATGCACCGAAGGCCCGATGCCCAAACCTTACAACCCTGCAACCACCCTAAACCAATACCCTAAACCCCAAACCCTGAACCCTACATGAGCTAGAGTCCAAACTCCTGAAAAGGGGGTTGTATAGGGGATTATATAGGAAAGTATTATAGGGGTTATTAAGGGGAATACTATGAGTTTAGGGTATAGCTCACATACTTTCACACCTCCAAGCCCGAAGTCTAAATCTTTCACCCCCACTAAGCCCCTAAGTGACTTTGCGGTTAGGCAGAAGCTCGACAGCCTGCAGGCCACTAGGGCGTCAAGCACACCCCAAAACAGTATGCAGCAGGTTTTGGGTTTTGGGTTCAACCCAATAGTGGAGTACTACACTTCAATGCTTGTTTGGTTCCTGGGCTCTTATTATATCACCTTATACCTAAGAAGCCTATACTTTTTTCCGGGGTGTACTCCAAGCTAGGTTTAAGGTACGAGCAAAAGGGGCCTCATGAATATGCAGACAACCCATGTTGCCCTGACAATCTACTGCTCAATTATTGAACCTTTGTTATCCTCACGCATACGGTGGATCTTACAAGTAGGAGTGCATCATGGTGATTTCAAATTCCATATGCGGCAGGTCCCTGACGTGTCAGGACAATCAAAAACAGATGATCTCTCAGAATAGTACTTGCTGGTTTGCTGTATGGATACTTCAGTGCCTCCACCTATTCGGAGACCACCTCCATCAAGGGTAGCACTCCAAGATTTGGTAATCTAGACTGTGAGGGCAGGGCATAGCCAAGCCCAGATGCGAAGGGCGAATTAAAGGTGTTGGGTCCAGGGCCATTATCGCTTGAGAGCATGACTTGAGAAGCAGTGCTTGTCATGCTGTGTTTCATGTACAACTCATGAGAGATTACTTGGAGGGTCAGGGGGACGTAGTAAGTAGGTTAATAACCCCTATAACCTATATAGTAACCCCAATAATCCCCATTACTAACCTAGTTATTAAGTCCCCCTGACCCTAAACCCTAAACCGCTAGAACCCACACAGGAACCAAGGGCCGAAGGGGCAAGAGGAAAGCGTCAGGTCTTTGAATTTGCTGCGCATCTGCACTTGCCCAGACCCCCCAAAAAAGTATCCAAAAAATTGAACCCCCCAATTATCCCCTAGTTTCCCCAATGCAGTGATGGGTGTCGTTTTGGGGGGTTCATGTTTTGTAGCCTTTAGGGGGGCTGGGTGTACCATGTCTGCAAGTCTTATGGAAGTTGCTGTCTGCTACACAGCATCGTGACAGCTTCTATCACTTATTTCCGTCCAATTAAGGCCGGTCCCTTTGATACCTAACCCTAAACGGCCCTAAACCCTAAAAACTAAACCCTATTACCCAAGGTGCATTATAATCCTTCGGCACTATCGGCGCTGGAAACCCAGAAGCCCAGAAATCCTTGCCGATCATATTGTAGTGGTTGCCAAGGGGGATACTGGGAGTTTAGACTACAGCTCATATGACCCCTAATAGCCATTCAAATGAATTCCATTTTTGGAACGCACCTTGGTTTGGCAAGGCTCCATCAGCATGCTGGGGCAGGCTGGCACCAATCTGGGTTCAGGGGACTACGTAGGGGGTGGGGGGGGTTAGGGGGTCAAGGTTTGGCTCTTGCCCTAATCCCCTCAGCCCAACATGAAAACCACGCACCACCGTTGAGCAATAGCTCTTCCGAATGTAATACCATTCGTTATATAACTGGGGCGCATGGTGCATTACTAGAAGGAGGATTTGCAGAATACAGGTTCCTAGATATCGGTTCCCATTATACGTGACGTGCTTGACGATATCGCTTGGGCCATTTTTTTGCATAAAATCCGCTGAAGACAGCAAGTTTTGTGAGCAGAAAGGAAGTACCCAGAGTGCCTTGACCTACAAGAACAGCATGTCAAGAATCAAGAGCTAGGGCTCAACTAAGTCAAGTGTGCAGGGTTCTGGCTATGCTTCTATATTGGGGTTACAAACATACCTTGTAAGACTAAGTGCAGCGGCAGGTGACACTTTGGCTAGGTACCCCAGTAGAACCCTTTTCCTCTTTTTATTTGGCGGTCTCCTTATTAGAAGAGAACAGTAGGCAAAAGGGTACCCTTGTTATGTAGGTTGGTGACATTCCACAGGATAAGTCCGTACGGCTCGCTGACAGGTCTCCAAGAAGATCCTCCAAGAACCCTCTTGAAGGTCCGATATGAGCCGTAGTCTAAGCTCCTAAAAGGGGATTATTTCAGGGATTCCATAGGGGATTACTGCAGGGGTTACTAAGGGGGGGGGATACTGTGAGTTTAGACTATGCTCATATGATCCCCAAACGAGTTTCTGACCTGATGCCCTTCCGAGATCATGCACTCTTCATCGTACAAGGAAGCGCGAAACAACCCATTGGCCTTGGCAGGCTTGCATACCATGTTTGAGGCTTTACTACAAGGGACTAGCTCGGACCTTGAAGGAGTAGCAAGAGCTTGCTGGGTAGCAGCTGTCTGATCACGTAGCAAGTTGGCCCTCTTGGGGGTAAGCTAAACCACCACTTACGAGTGGCGCCTCCGTGCTGTTGAAGGACCGAATGAAGGCCGAGCTCTTGCAAATTGCGCACAGAGCCTCAGACAACGCGAGGACTGCGCCGGTTGAGGGTCAGGTTGCAGATGTCAGGGCATAGAGTATAGGTCTGAAAGAAGTTGTGGGAGGAGCCTGCTTCATATTTTTGGTCAGCTAACCTCATGCAGCAATCTTTCTCTCACCGTTCCACATTTCACATGAAGATGCGCAAAGATTGATGACGTAAACAGTCAGCCCAACGTTGTAAACTGACTGACTCCTACCTAGCTGGGACTTTCGCGACGCCCTCTTACAGGTTGTTATTCGGGTTCTATAGCCATTAGTATATGGATCCACTTTCCTATTCCCGTCTACGTAGTACTACGCCATTAGCACGGCGTCCCAGCCCCCAAAACCTGTTCGTCCAAGTGGGTGTTCCGCCAATTAGGTGGGGTGTTTGGCGTGGTTAGAATTTGCAATGTAGTACATTGGGGATGTATCTGCATCTATTCCTTTGCCTTTCTATCTGGGCAAGCCATATTGACCTCAGCCGCTTGGCAAGCACCCGCATAAAACAAGAGGCTTCCAAAAGCATTCCTAACAAGTCAAAATAACACTTTAGCCGCTTGCTAAACTTCTTGTGCGTCCAAAAACCTTCCGAGCACAAAAGGAACTCCAAGCTGCGGAAGGCCCTTCCCGCAACGAAATACGCTATCAATTTCCCACCGCCTGACGGTTTGGAGAAGTCTTCTTGAGTGAGGGACCGCTGTTTTGGTGGCATGCAACCTATACATGGTCAGCGGCAGGACATCTGGAGAAAGTTTTCAGCTTTCACACGGTGCAGCTCTAACCCTTCGAGATTTCCTTTCTAGATTTTGAAACCTTTAAGTATTACCACTTCACACTATGCAATTCCTAGCCTTCGAGATTTAGGGGGGTTTTGTTATAGGCTGGTCTTAACCCAACTTCTATTTTCACAACCATTTTCTAAACTCTGAACTCCGAAAATCTAAGCCCTAAACCCAAGTGCCAGGACACTGCAGGAGGCTATGGCAGAAGTGAGTAGCAAATCCCAGCAGACTGCAGCTGCCCGTGATGCAGGCAAGAAGGGAAGGTTTCAGAGGTGTATTTTGGATTTTGGGGTTTGGGGTTTAGGGCTCCGGGTTCAGGAATTGAGATTTAGGACTTTAGGGCTAAGGGTTGATGGTTCAAGGTAGGGTCCCAGGCATGGAGTGGTTCTTACCTGGAGGAGAAGGAGAAAGCAGGAGGAGGTCTGCGGACATGGAAGAGTTCCCGCACTGGCTGGATCAGAGGTGGGGTTTAGAGCTACAGACTCGTGTTACTACCATGCTCAAGGAAGTCCTGAAGTGTAGTGAGACCTCAGCAGTAAATCTTTTTCTTGAAACCTTAGCCTTAGCTGTAAGCCTGTCTGCCTCTCTAGATTGCCCTGCTTTACTGGTGATGGATGAAATCTTGCACCACCTAGGGGCCTTAAACTATTGCAATACCTTGGACTCTAGGAACTTAAGGTGGTGCAAGGTTTCCTCCTAAACCCTAAACCCTGAGCCCTAAACCCTAAACCCAATACAATGGGTTGTCTAAGATACTATATTATACCATCAACAGTAGCTCTACACCTCGGAAGATCTGACAGGCGCGAGCTCAAACACTTCGGCTACTGCAACTGGGCTCCGGGTGATCGTAGGTGCTGATCCAGGGAGTGTCTGAGTAGGGCTTCTGGGATATTTGATATTTTCCCTAATGGCTTTAATGGGGTACCCTATATACTAATATTTTTGAATGGATTTTAGGGGCCAACCTAGGTGTGGGGCGGTTTTGTTGTTGTTTCTTCACCTCCACGCCCCTTATGACATGGTCGAGTATGCTTTTGTCGGTTTCCAAATGCTGTCTGCGGACAAAAGGTCCTAGATCTGCGAGACAGTCATATCGTGACATGCTTGCGGAGTGCTTTCAATTAGGTCTGGGAAGAACAGCTGCATTAAATACCAGGAAGGGGCCATGTTTCGGAAAACGAAGCGTAGTTTCCCAGGAAATAAAACCTAGCGGCAACAGACCCTACGTTCACAGTGATTAAACTGTGGTCCCCTCTTTCCGAGCTCGTCCGACCTTGCGCTCACAGAGAATCGTGGCTTCCATATATCTGAACTGGTCAGATGATTGTACCAGCGGCTAGATGCATTAAGTATCCTTTGAGATGCCCTCAGTGTAAACCGCTACCTTTGCCTTCTGACTTCCCTGACAGGTACGGTGGTTAATTCACTGTACAGTGGTTGCCGCACACAATAACAACGCTGGGGGCAGCTCACAGACAAGGACGCGCTTTGGACTGCTGGGGTTACGCAACGCTCAATATTACTAGGAAGATCCCTAGAGTGCAGCTTCCACAGGTTGAAGGCGCCCTTACATACACACCCAATTTTCTTGAATTCTTCTTAATTGAAGGACCCCGAAAGGAGCCCCAATATCATCCAATTTCACTGAGCCTGCGCTTGTTGAGACTCAGGCAGCTTTCCTCAACTCCGACCACGGAAGAGGTTCCATCTCGAGCTGTTGCCCAATTCAAGAATCCCTTATATTGTAGAATGGACATACATTGGTATGTGGGGATTGAGAAGGTTTATAGGGCTTAGGGGTTTTCAGGAAATTAGGGGCGCCTTCTTTGGGTGGTATCTATACCAAGGATTATTTTATTTTTGTTTTTTGGAGGGGTGGTGGGTGGGTGGGTATGTAAAACGGGGGCTCTCAACTCTCATATCCCCCCAAGTTACGGAGTCTTCTAAAGTGAATATATGGTATGGTATCGGGAATTTGTTCATCATCAGGGGCGAGGGTTGGTTGGGCTAGGGGTGAAGAATACAAGGGTGCCCGAATTTTAGCATTTAATCAGTGATATGATATTTGTTGAACATCGAACAAGGGAGTCGGTCAGAATCGGAGAAGCATTGTAAGAATTTTCTGAAATATGATGGATGTCATTCTGAGACAGGGACCCATGATGCTGACAAACGTCCCGGAAGATCTCGAATCCTGGATGCCGTCCCCTTTTACGGATTTTCTTGGTTGCTGTTGAGGAATTTAGATTTAGTTACTATGATAAGGAAACCCTTTGATTTAGTATATGCCCGTATTATGGTAGCTTGATTCAAGTTCCTCAACAGCAACCCAGTTTTCTTGGTGGAAGGTCTTCCGCAGAGCAAGATCGAGCTATCCAGGAACCTTTTCCACTCAAGCAGGATGCCTAGCCTCGACCTAGAACCGAGGGACTGGTCTAACATCAGCATACTACGGGGCTTATTTTGGGCTTCCTATCACAATAAAGATCTGCACACAATTTTCTCCATTTTGGAACCAGTAATTTTTAGGCCAAGTCGCACATGACGATCGGGTTGCATTTAGGGACTCTCGTTCAGCAAAGTCGTTTGCGTTTGGAGTTGCATTTGCAATCAGGAATGTGTGCTAGGGGCTGCAGGCCAAAAAGGAGAGAATGCGGCTGGATAGGTGCGAGCGGCCAAATTAGGGAGGATTTTGCTATTGCAGGTCCGGCGAGACAAACTTCCCCACGCATTTGAGCATGGGATTGTTGAAGCGACTTGAATGGGAACACCAAAGCAGGTAACCCCAAGAACATAGTAGGAATGCACAAGGAAGGTACATACCAGGGCCCCTATATTGCGAGTATATTCCTACTACATTCCTGGGCTTGCCTGCTTTGGGTTCCCGTTACAGTCCTTTTACATGCATATGCTTTTCAGATCGAGCTCCAAACTTCGCGCTTTACTCATATTGAGGGTTCAGGAATTAGGGGATTTAGGGTTTAGGGTTCAGGATTTAGGGTTTAGGATGGTTTAGGGTCCAGATTCAGAAGGATGGTTTAGGATTTAGGGATGAGAAGTGGACCGGTGCGGCTGATCAGCAGGCAACAGCAACAATATTTCGTAGTAGTCATAATTCGCCTCCGTCCCCCTCAGGCCTTTCCAGCCTTTTCTAAGTAGCGTGCAGTTCCAACGTAAGGAGACGCTGGATGTCAGCTTCCTGAGTCCCTCCCTTGAAGAGCAT